ACATTTTAGACTTTTGTTGATGAGGAGTCAAGGGAGGAGGCCCGTCGTCTGGGCAAGCAGCTCTAAGGGCTTCAGGAGGAGGCGGGCAGGCTATAGGCCCACCTTGATGTTCGCGGCATGGAGTCGAGGGAGCTTCAGGTCATGGCCCAAGGCGCCTGTCACGCCCTTTTTTCTAGGGGTCCGCGGCAACGCGGCAGGAGGTGAACGGGCGGCTCCGTGCTGTGCTAGAGCGCTTTTGCGAGGTCATGGAGGATGGTGTCCGGCAAGGAGCGGCCTCGACACTGGCCGTGGTTCACTTCCGGTTCCTTGGCCTAGTGGATGTCCGTGAGGTGGCAGGAGGCTTCCTCACCGGCGTCAACCCCAATGACCTGACGTTCCTGATGCCCCACTTGGAGGACGTTGCCGATGCCGTCCTGGCGATCGCACCCCTAGAGGACATCCTCCGCGGCCCCTCGCCGGACCATTGAAGAGTGGCGGCCACACCCAGTGCCTCTCCCCCTGTTCCTATGAGAGAAGAGAGATCAACCAGTGTCTGTCCAGTGGTTGAGTTGCGGAGCGTTGTCCCTAGAACAATTTAATATTTTTTGTTGTAAATGTTAAGTTCGTGTGTTTGTCATTTCTTTGCTGCCCATGTTTTTCTGCTTCTTCTCAGGTGCGCCCGACCTTCTTTTTCGATCGGTATTTGGGGTCCATCTTCCCTCATAATCCTTGGCTATGTTGTAGGTGGCCTGGGGTCGCGCCCTCTTGGTAGCGCATAGGCGTTAGCGCTAGGTTGGGGAGTCTAGAGGCGTAAATAGACCAGAGATGGGAAGGCCGGGCAGGCAGCGCCTGGCGAGGCAGGCCTCGCGGTGCTTCACGCTTACTAGAAGGAGGGGGATTCATGGTAATCAGAAAGCAAACTCAACATTCAACTGAGAAATATAAGGTACAGGAAAGGAAAGCAAATAGGGAAAGTCACGTAGCTTCGTGTTTCCTTCCTGGGCGTTTTGTCAAGGCGAAGAACGGGCGTGATGTAGTTTGGCTTGTGCACCGGGCCTCCAAATGGCGGGCTTTGCTATGGCCTTCCTTCGCGAGGAAGGGCTGGAGCCTCCCTCGATCAGGTTGGTCCCTCCTAGGCGCCCAAGCGCCTAGACGAAGGGGTTCCCCGTGCCGCCACGGTCATCGGGGACACCAGGTGCATCTTTAGAGCTTAATCGATCGAACGCCGCCGTCACCTTGACCTCCTTTTACGCCATTGAGATGTGCCCAAGGCTTCCGGGTGGGCGGCGTCGTCGCTGACGGGGGACCACATGGCTTGCTGTCGCACAAGCCCCTGCCTTTGGGGCCCAAGCTCTACCTCGGTGGCCTCCAGGTCCGCCTGCCGAGTCTGTAGGTGAGCTACCTTCTTCTCGAAGGTGGCTTTGCGTGGCTGCGGGGACCCTGGTCTAGCAACGTGAGCTCTGGCACCTTCCCGATGGAAACTTCACTATCGATGTGGTAGCACATGCAAGGCGGGGCATAGCAGTCGATGTCGTCGGAGTCATACTCCGGGCCGTTCCCCGAGAGGATCTCAAGGAAGATGTGTAGCGAGGGGACGTCAGCCCCCGTGGCACCAAAGAGGATGGCGCTCTGTGGCCCCTCGTGGCTGATAAGGACCTCTAGCTCCAGCTAGAAGGACATTGTCGCATTCTTGATCATGAAAGGCAGGTCCGAGAGGTAGTACCAGAAGCGGTCAGGCAGCAGGAGCACCTTACCGGTGCCGATCTGGAGATAGACGTTGGCCAACATGTAGAACATCTAGTGGCGATTCGACACGGTTGGGCTTGGGCCCAGACCGCGCTGGATTTGTTGGGCTAGGACCTCAAGATCTGCTCCCAAGAGGCCCGGTGGAGGGGGCGGTGTCGGGAGCTCACCACTCACCAGTGCGGCCCTATCAAGCGAACGAAGCTCACCATAGCAGTCGACGATGTAGGCCTGGCTCCCAAAGTTGAGGACCTGGCCTGGAGCGAAGGCGCTGGCTATGATGAAGAACTCGCTAGGAAAATAGACACCACCGTCTGGGGTGATGTCGCTTGCTCCAGTGACAAGACGGGTGGCTCCGGCCACCATAGAGCCTGAATCGTACTTGATGCTACCCCCTACCAGGCGCGCCAGCTGTCGCGGGGTCGAAACTATGGCAAGCATTGTTATTCGAGTCGGTATCAGAGTACATGTCTCCGATGTCTCAGGTGGACTTAAGAACACAAGAATCATAGAGAGGACGCAACGGTTTATCCTGGTTTAGGCCGATCGATGCCCTAGTCTAGCAACTGATGATCCTTATACTCAAGAGCACCCAAAATCAGAGGGTTACAACAGAGTGTACAGGAGGAAGAGAGAGATTTGGTAGGGGGTTAGCTCGGTGCTAATCCTGAGGTTGCCTTGCCGCCGGTGGAGCCTTCCCCTCATTGGAGAGGATGAAGACGACGGGTGCGGTGGAGGAACTCTCAATGCCCCTCGGTGGGTTGCTCTGCTCTCGGTGCTGAGCAGGAGCGGATCGGTGAGGAATCAAATGATCTGTCTAGGATCATCCCCCCTAAGGTCCGACCTTATCCCTTATATACCGAGATAGGTCAGGTACATGATGGTTTGAGGGTGGAGCCTATGGTCTACATGCACCGGAGTCAAGGAGGGTCTTGCAGCAGCGCTCTGTGGACCGTGGCGATGTCGTGGAGCCAAAGAAGCCTTGGGCGTCGTCCGGCTGGCCTATCCTGACATGTTGAGTGTTAGGCTGTGTTGGCTTGAACTAGCCTCCCCTAGTTGCGCCTTCTGGAGTCTTCTTGGTGGTGAAGGAGGCCGGCTCCAGGGGCTGACACGCGGGCCCGGAAGCCCTCGAGCCCCTGGAGGCCACGGAGGGACTTGTCTTCTTGTGTCAAGCCCCAAGCGTGACCCTGTCGGGGGCGCGGTTGACAGAGCCGTGCCCAATGGGCAGCGCTGGGACCCCGAGCCTTGGTGGCTCGAGGCATGTCTTCTTATGCCCGGGCCTTAGCTGGCATCGTAGGCCGGGTAGGAGCCAAGGACCGGGCTCGGGCTTCTCGTCGATCAGGAGCCTAAGGCTCGGGCGAGTCCTTGAGCCCCAAGCAAAGGCGGCGACATGCTCAGGCTCATCCTGAGTGCTTGGTCTGAGGGTGCGTGCGAGCGTACCTGATGGGTATAGACCCTGAGCCCCCGGGCGATCCTGAAGGGGTCGATCGGGGGGTCCATTGGTTGGGAACCCTTGATCCCAAGATTTAACATACCCATATGTTAAGATCTCGTCAGACTGCCTTCTATTCTATCCACGGAGTTCTAGTCCAGTTTGAATGTTTGATCCAGATCTAACTGTGGGCTTGTGTTAGACATATGTATGTGTGTATGGGCCTAGGCTTGGGCCGTGCGGCTATAGCTAGCACAGCTGGCCAGCAGTATGGCTGTGTTGCGTTGGACTCCATGTCCAGCGCACTTGTAGATTAAGTTGTACACCGCATGGATATCAGAGGATGGTACCATGCAACTCAAGCAAGTGTATTGTGACAATGTACATCAACATCATAGCATGTGAAAGCGATCTCCACTTTGTTCATTAACGTGTTGCTCTTGGTGATGTACGTGAAGTTTATGTTTGTTACTTATTCACAGTTCGCTCACATCTTCATCAAGGGGCTGCCTTCTGTTGTATCCATGGAGTTTAAGTCCAGTTTGAATGTTTGATCCATCCAGGATCTAACTGCGGGCGCGTGTTAGACATATGTTCGCGTGTATGGACCTAAGCATGGGTCACACGGCTATAGCACAGTTGGCCAGCCTAGTATGGTCGTGTTGCCTTGGACTCAAGTCCGATGCCACCTATAGATTAAGTTGTACATGACGAGTAATTCATCTCGTCCCCGAGTTCGCTCATCCCCCGCGTCGTCCCTCTCGGAGCGACACGGGTGGAACCACCGCTCGGCGCCACCAATACCTCCCCCGCGGAGGTGGTCCTACGGTGTTAGCGAGTGGGCAACGTGGCGCGGCGATGGCAGCAAAGTGGAGGCTCATGTCGATGACCCAATCCGACCGAGCGGAGTTTTTTCCATTGAGGCTTGTGTCGATGACCCAATCCGACCGAGCGGAGTTTTTTCTGTTGAGGCTCGTGTTGATGTCCCAATCCAACCAGGTGAGGAGAAGGCCAAGGTGGTGAGCTTTGTCTCTAGAAGCTTTGTGTCCGTGCACGTGGTGCAGCTGAGATTCCGGTGGCGGCAAGATGAATGTGAAGTTAATGGAGCGGCTTGGTGGTACCAAGTCACCCCCGACGGCGAAGTAAGCCCGGATCCTTGGAGAGTCCAGCGGCGGGAGTGGCGAGGCCCCCGTGCGCTTTAAGGTGGTGTCCGAGGAGTGGTGTGCGGCGATGGATGTGGCGAGGCCCCCACACATTTGAGTTGCCTTGGAGGTCTAGGATCCGGTGCGGTATTTCGGTCCTTTGGAGTGTAAGGTGCAACAGCGGTACTTCGGCGAGGGGTCCTACATGGCGGTGGCCTCTTCGGTGTGGTGTGGTGGACTTCTCTTCTAACTTCTGCCAACACACGGCCGTGGTTGGGAGATCGGTGATCATGTGTGTGTGACCTGAAGACGACGACGACATGGTGGGGGAGTAGTGGTATCTACACGGCTTGCGTGGATCATGGTGGCTAGTTCTCGCATGGCGGCGGATCGGGTTGGCGAGGGACATCGTTGGTAACAATGGCCCTTGCGGTGAGGGCTACTTGTCGGCTCTACTCTTAGTTTGTGGGGGTGCGGTGTGGGAACTGCTTGGAGTTGAGTGCCCTTTTTGTTGAGTTTGTTGTCGCTGTTGTATCGTTGTGCCTACTTTGGGCTCATCTTCTTTTTATTATAATCGGCAGCTCTCCTGCCTCATTCGTTTCAAAAATAAGTTGTACACGACATGGATGTCAAAGGACGGTTCTATTTCCATAAGCTGTCCCTATCCATGCCTATATGTACGTGTATCATGTATACTCCTATAATTAATCTACTGCTCCATGCAATCTATGTTGCTGACAAAAACATATCAAACAAAAAGTTCCACTATTAGATATGGTTCTAAAATCTAAACCGACACTAATAGCCCTATTATCAACGTAAGTGATTCATTGGATATTTGTATTGGTTCTTGCAAAATTGGCTCATAATACTACTCTCTCCATCCCAAAATACTTGATTTTTAGGTTTTTAGGACATATTAGTAAGTGCTTAATGAAAACTACCCATGTACCCCTATTTATTGAAGGTGATCCACGCCAATTAATGAATAATCCACTAATTAAAAAGAATGGAGGCATGCAGTGCATGTCACAATCTCCTAAGTCCCAATCTAGTGTCGAGCTAAAACATCAAGTTTTTTGGAATATTTTTTATTCTAAATCATCAAATTTTGAGGGAGTATATGTCTTAGTTCTAGGCAAACCGACACTAATAACCCTATTATCAACGTAAGCGATTCATTGGATATTTGTACTCCCGGCCCTCTGTCCCTAGATGATTAGTATGACAGAGAAAACACTATACTACCCTTCATTAAGTGGAGCAGTTGCACACTGATCGGTGATTGTTCCAATGGCACACTAGCTAATTATAGCATTTACTAAACACATCCAACTGTAGAAACTCAACACTGGATTGGGAGATGGGAGGGGGTGCAGTAAATGCGATGAGACTTTGAGGAAAATAAATGGGCTCATGGACCATTCAACCTCCTAGAGAAATTCTTTTTATTCGGAGACCGAGGTAGATTCATTTCAAGCAAAATTGGCTTGCAATATTATTCTCTCCATACCAAAATACTTAATTTTTAGGATTTCTAGGACATATTAGTAAGTGCTTAATGAAAACTACCCATGTACCCTATTTATTGAAGGTGATCCCTGCTAATTAATGAATAATCCACTAATTAAAAAGAATGGAGGCATGCAGTGCATGTCAAAGTGTCCTACGTCCTAACCTAGTGTCATGAGCTAAAACATCAATTTTTTTGGAACAATTTTGTTATTTATTCTAAAACATCAAATTTGAGGGAGTACTCCCTCGGTCCCAAATATGTATCGTTTTCACCTCCCGAGAAGTCAAACGCTTTTAACTTTGACTAAATATATATACAAGAAAAATACTAATGTTTATGGTACATATTTAGTATCATTAGATAGATCATTGAATTTATTTTCATAATAAATTTATTTAGAGATACAAATGCTGCTAATATTTTCAACAAATAAGTCAAACTTAAAAAGTTTGATCAGCATGAATACTGTAGCAACACTTGTTTTAGGATGGAGAGAGTAAGTCTTAGTTCTAGACAAACCGACACAAATAACCGTGGATTGGATTTTTATGGTATTGGAGCTAGATGAAATTATATAAAAGAATTTTGATGTCAAATAAGATAAGGAGTAAAAGAAATGAAGGACTTACAGTTGGAGACATTCCAGCTACATCTTGAAGAAATGACATCTCAAGAAGCTCCTGAAAGTATCTTTCTCCGACTTGTTGCGCTGTGAACGACTGGCCAGTGAGCCGAACAAATCCAAGAGCAATCCACTGCTGAATCAAGCTGCTCTTCTCTATATGGCTGCCTTTAGGAAAAACAGTGCAATATGCAAAACAGGACTTGAGATAATTAGGCATGTATTGATAACTAAGCTTCAGTGATGGCAGCACTTCCGTGTCTACCAATAATCGTCCATCGTCTCCATCTTCTGCCCAGATGTCACTATCCCGGATAGCTTCCCATTGATTACTGTTCCGACAAAGGTATCCTAGAGATTTTACTGCTAGTGGTATTCCTTTGCATTTCTCAACTATGGCTCTTCCAATATTTTCCTTATCTTTATCCACCAAGCCATGTGGAAGTGCCTTTGCTCGGAACAACTCCCAACAGTAATTATTGGACAGAACATCTAAATTTATTGCCGAAGTTCTATTCAAATGCTTAGCAATTTTTTCTAAACGTGTAGTTGCTAGAATCTTGCTGCCTTTTTTGCTACCTAGCAACAGTGTCATTATTTTTTCCAACTTTAATGGTCCTTCTTTCCAGATGTCATCTAGAACAAGAAGAAATCGCTTATTGTTGATAATAGTGCTCAGATTGTTTAGGACAGACTGTAAATCAGAACCATTGTTAGAGCCACTTGAGTTATCCAGTTGGGAGATAATAGATGTACCGATGGAAAACAAATCAAATTTTACTGACACATAGACCCATGCTTGAACATAAAAAAAATCCTTGGTTCTAGCATCGTTGTAGACCAATTGCGCAAGGGTAGTTTTACCTACTCCTCCAATACCATAAATAGGAACGATGGATGGTTCTCCATCTGTAAAAAGCAAACTGATAATGCTTTCTTTCTCATTGATCCTCCCAACGGTAATTTCACTGTTAAACGATGTGGTTTTCCGATTATTCTTGATGACTTCCTCATCATCCGGATCCGTGCTAGGGTGCTGTATGAAGTTGAATTTGCTCTGATGATCTACTATCTCCTCTATCGTTTCCCTCATCCTTTTCACTTTATGAGGCATCTTCAACCTTTCAAAGCATGAAAGTAAATCCTGTTGTATATAAATGGCATGTATCAGAAACAAGTTCATCATAAGCTACTGCAGTTTAGCTTTGAAGTAGGCAACTCACCTTTTTAGTTTTGCGGAGGCCTTGGCCGTTGTCAACGACTCGAAGAGAAGCAGCATATCCTCCAAGTCATAAGCCGCAGCCTTGAGCTTCTTGAGCGTGTGATGGACGCTCTCACGCTTTGACGACTGCCTCTCCGCGTCCTTGAGGAAAGATTTAACGAAGGACCGATTGTCCTTGATGCTCTCTAAATCTTTACTGAAATTCAGCTGCAAAGCAATCTCTTTCCAGGCGGCGTCAAGGGTGACCTTATTCAGCTTGCCGAAAACCTCCTTCAGGATGACAGAGGCGAGCAACTCCCCGACCTAACCATCGTCACTCGTCAGGAGGGGAAGTAACAGGCTGTTCGAAACCAGCTGAAGGCGTGCGAAGAAACGAACAGGGAGGGCACAGGCCCGAGGAAAGAGAGAGGCAACAAGCGCCGTGTAGGTTAGTACCTTACCACTAGGACTAGGAGGAGGAGGAGAGGCGACGCGCGGTCTGAAGTCTAGCCGTCCGCCACGCCTGGAGTCTCAGGCGGCTGCCAAAGGGCGGCGAGGGCCGCCACACTCCCACACCTGAAGCTGCGCCAGGAGCAGGAGGTCAGCCAACTAGATCTAGATGAGAGTCATGAGACGCATGGTGCGGCATGTCGCCGGGGGCTGGCTAACCACACCGGTAGCTGCTAGATGAGGGATGACCGGATGAGCACGATGGCTGGAATTTAGCAATGCCACCGAAGCACGTACCTTCTGTGATTTACAGAACGAGGTCGAGCATATTTATAGATATTTTTTTTTCACTATTTCTAAACGTCACGTGCCTGAAAATAGATATTTTTCACTTTTTTCTATTTTCTAAATGTCCTCTTGTCATTTGTTTATGATTTGTTAATTGTCTTTGTGTTATAATATATTAACTTTTTATCCTTGTCCAACTATAAAAATAATTATTATAAATCATTAATTGTCTTTGTGCCAAAATATATTAGATTTTGTAAGGTTTGTGGCTTTGTCTAACAGATTTTTTATTCTTGATCCAAAAATTGCAGATTATGCCTATGAAAATTGCAACAAACTAAAGCTATAATTTTAACATAAAATATATGCAATAACCGTTGCCTGAAAAAAGCTAAAATTCAGGCACCTCAATTTTAGCAACTCCCTTTTTTTCATAAATGAAAATTACTTACTTGATCTCGCTTTGACAGTTGTTGATGTAGAATCGGGTCACGCACCGGCAAAGGTGTTGAGAGTAAAAATGTGTAAACAAGAGTAATAGATTCCACCATCAAGTTCCTGACGTAAGACATTCAAAAAATATATTTGAAACAATAAAATTAGAGTTCAAATAAAGAAAATGTTGCTTTTGGACTGAATCTGTCAAAACTGGCCTAGCCAGGTTCCTAAACTACCTAGGCGGATTTTCATGTACTTCATGTACGCCGCTTGGCACAACTGTCCAGCCTCAAGAAAATCGACCAAGCCAGTTTCCCTATTCAAGGATCGGGTCAAGTTCAACTCAGTCTAGACTTATTTTTGTTGTGGAAAACTTAAAGATTGCGTCTTAAAGATGTTTTTTACCGGGATAAGACCACCCTATCTATATAAACAAGAGAATCACGGCCGATTGATGAATCCAACTTCTAATCGTCAAAAAAACACATCTACTACTCCTTTTACCCTGACTCTCCCAACCCCACGGGTCTTCCTAGGATGTGCTCAAGAGTCTAACAGGCGAAGAACATGCGTTGAATCGGCTTGCTGTTCGGTCTTGTAGATTTACTATGTTCTTGCTGCATGCTAGTGTTAGCCCTTACTGGTGTGTGACAAGATTCAGCATCAATACACTCTTTTGGCAACTCCGATGTAGAAGAAGAAGAATAGATCCATTAACATGTCTAGGAACGACGACAAAAAGAAGGTCGGTGATATCACAGAGCCTACCGATCAAGACAACATCATCTCGCCAGTATCAATTGATGAGCTTCCTGATCAGTTCCGCCATAAGTGAGGCCAAATTCGCTGGTGATCTACATGCGTTCCTGGCGAGTTGCACCAAAGATTGGCAAGGAGTTGTGACTCAATAATGCGGTCCCATCTGTGGTGATCCCTCTGCCTCTATGTCTACTGCACCTGAGGTAAAAGATTATGAAGAGGTAGATGATCCTTATCCTACTCATGCTAATTATGCGAAGATGTTGTAGGATCATAGGACAGTAACTGATAACAATCTTATTACCGATGTCAATATGATCATGTCACATTTTCATAGACTAGAGGGTAAGCGAGTTGATTACGTTGATGCATCTGCTAGCGAATCGATTCCTAAACAACCACAATATGGCATGCCTTATAATTTTTATGAGAATCAAAGCATGTATGTTGTGGCTAACCAAGCCAAATTAGCCGCTGTAAGGACCGTGACGCCTAAGAAGGGGGTGAATTAGGCAACTTAAGAAATATTTCTAACTATGGCTTCTAATTTCAACCTAAGCAAAACCTATGCAAAGATAAACTATCTAGATGTGCAACTAAGGTTTTGCTAGGTGTGTTGCTATATCTACCGTAAAAGAGTTATGCAACCTAAGTTCCAATCCTATCAACTAAGCTAGGAAGGTAAATCACAAAACCAAGGTAAACAAAGTAAATGCGGAAGGTAAAGGGCAATGGAGATGCAAACTCCCGTTTGACGATGCCGGTATTTTTACTGAGGTATATCGAGAAGCGCACCAACTTCCCCTAGTCCTCGTTGGAGCCCCATGCAAGAAAGCCCTCGCAAGGGCATAGCTCCTAGTCAGATAACTTCATGGCTAGCCTCGGGCCTTCCCCGCGCAAGTGGGTCTCCGGAATAGCCTCTCCTGGACCACTCCTCGCCATCTTCACTATCAAGCTTCTAGCCAAACCACCGTGGGCCTCATTCCCCAAACCACCGCGGTCCTCATTCCCTTCGGTAGACGGTTGCGGCCACACCACAAACGCTGTTGGGGTGGTCTCGCAAGTGTAACACCCTAGGTGTTAGCCTTGCATAACTTGACTTGCATAGCATGAGCATGATCATCAAGCATTCATAAACAAGCATTTACAATTGAAACATTGGATTGAAACATATGCAACATTTGCTTGTTATTGCAAGTTTCCTTGTACATATGCAAATGATCATGAGTGTAAACATGTATTTGGTGGATGTGAGTCACAAAAACATTTAACAACACATGGGTTAGCAAATAGGACATTGTTCATGAAGGTCACCTTTCATGACCAAACACTTAAGTAAGATTTCATGTGTTAACCTAGATAGCACTATGTGTGACTAATACATGAAAAGATTGTATGACCTTGCAATTTGCTTAAACATGTTTAGAGTATCATTATGAACAACTTTGATATTCATGGTTAGGGGTAAATAGGTCATTAAGTCATAGTTTGAAGTGTATCATCATTTAAATGTGACATGTTTGACCAAGTTTGAACTATGTGTTAGAGACCTTGCATGGACGAGGTCACTAAAGCAAAGTTGTAGTGTTTGGCAAGGGGAACAACTTTTATTTTTGGGTCATTGATTGATTTAGCTCCTAACATGCTTGAATTTGGATCACAAAAATCAGCAAAATTCACCTTTTCAACACTAATCAAAATTTTTCTGAGTTCTTTTAACTGACCGACTGATAAGCCAACTTTGCGATGGTGTAACTCAGTTTCGGTTGGGAATTGGCACGAGATCCTTGAACAAGAATTGGAGCTGGTACATAGGTCTACCATTTCGGTTTAGAGTGTTTGCACGTTGGAGCAACGGATTAGCAGATACATCGCCGTGTAAACCGGCTGTCAGGCATCCAATCCGGTTTCTGAATCAACTGAACGACGACGTTCAGTGGCCGACCGGCTCCGAGCCGAGCCGCCACGTGGTGGCCAGCGGACGCCGCGCGTCGCTGGCGCCCTGCCGCGTGTGGCCAAGGCAGGCCAGCGCACGCCTTACCCTTCCCCGCACTCACCCGCACTGCCCAGCGCATGCCATTCGCCTCGCCTCGGCCTCCTTCCTCGCCCGCAGCTACAGCCGTCCCCGCACCGAGAGCCGCCATCGCCATTGCCGACGACAGCTCATCCTCACCGCTCCTCCGTCACCGTAGTAGCTCCACCAGCCCACCCGTGACCCATCGCATCCACCAGTGTCCGCTGACCGTGCTCGGTAAGCTCCAGCGCCGTGCGCAAGCTCGCCGGAGCCCCACCGCCAACTCCGTCGTCGTGGCCACGCCGCCACAGTCCACCTCTTGCTACGCTAGTTTGTGCAATAGGTCCACCATAGCTCGTAGATGCTCGTCTGAGCTTGTATTTGTGCCGCCGAGGTCGTCATCGGCGTACCGCCGTTGTCCCGCCTCGCCGTGCCGCCATGAGCGTCGCCACCGCGCGTAGCTTCGTCGAGAGTCCCAACCAAGTAGCCCAATCAACGCGCTAGGTCACGGAGATCACGTGGTGAAGATGTCACCGCCGGCAAACTCGCCGTCGGCGAGCTCTGGCCGCACCAGCAGCGCGCAGTGCCGCCTGCTCTGTTCTCGTTTCGCTGACATGTGGGGTCACTGGTTCACGGGTCCCACCGGTCAGCGACAGTAGTAGAGAGGGATAGTTCATTTAAATCCTGATTTCATGCTATTTTGTAAATTTTATAAGTGGAGTTCTGAAGATCCAAATTTGTTGGTTCAAATTTTGTTAGGATCTGGATGAAGTGTAGTATTTATGAAAAATATTATATTAGCAAGTTTAGTAGAAATTTTGGATGATTTAAATGGAAATTTGAAATGTGTTTTTGAATGCATGTAAACTTGTTTATTTTATATCTAGAGTTCCTGTGCTCCAAAAATTATGAAATTTTTGTGGTAAGCTATTCTTGACATGTATGAGCTCTGGTAAAAATGTGAGGATCAGTGCATATATAGATTTGTAGTTATAGATTTTTCTTTTATAAATAGGTAATCCTTGTATGAATTTTTATAAATTATTTAGGAATCCAATATTCATTAAATTTGTTGGAGGTTATCCTAGTACCATAAGGATGATAAGAAAAATAGGAAATCTATTGCTTGACACTTTTCACTAGGGTTTTCTATTTTTGCTATTGTAAGCCTTTCTGTCTTGTCATTTTTGTATAGAATGTTTTACTGTATAAAATAGCATGAAACTTTTACAGTATTCTTTTGGTAGCATTAGTAAGGCACTATAAAGTTTTAAGAATTTATGATGCACATTTGGTATGTGATTATTATTTAACCTATGTATCTAAGTAAAATAATAAAGGCACTTAAATAAATAGTTTTGGCTTCACCATTAGG